TGCACTTTGAAACCCATTTTCAAAAGTTTGCATTTTCAGGCCCCCAAACACCGTTGTCATGTAAATGAACAGCCAAAACACATAAAAAGTTAAATTTTTAGTTGAAAACATTGTGTAAACACCCCCTAAAACAACATGCGGGTGAGTAAATAATGATGATGATGATGAATTAGTTTGAACTACTCCTTTAAATTTCCTTTATGTTTCTCTAACAAAACTGTCCGTCTTTGTCAAAATCAGATCAACAGTTAATAAGAGGCATGTGGAACAAACTAAAAGTCAAATGCTCAGTGTAGAGATATGACGCTATCTACAGTTCTGGGCTGCATTTTGCTGCTTATCTTTAGACAGGAAATGCTGCAGTCAGAGGACTGACATCACTCAGGCTGGAGTGTGCATATGAACACACACACACACACACACACTAACTGTAGTGATCACTAACCAGAAGTCTCCTGTCTGGTGTCTCTCTGGCTCAGCAGTGTAAAGCTTTACAGGATTTACGTCAACAGATATTAAATCAAACAGAATTATTAGGAGCCCTTAAGAACGCAGAGCTGTAAATCTGATAAAATGTTAGGCAGAATAAAAGATATTAAATTTATGACTTCTCTTTAACCCACTTCTCGCTGAGGTCAGCCATAACTTGCTCACATATTAATTACTTATCACTTAAAAAACGCTTTTATTCCACCGGTTAATTTATCTCTGCTTGAATTGCAATATATCCAGCTATGCTGAAAAAATAGTGGTTCTCAATTGGTGTTTAAGTTCTGAGCCCTTAGGAACGAAGAGCTGTAAATCTGATAAAATGTTAGGCAGAATAAAAGATATTAAATTTATGACTTCTCTTTAACCCACTTCTCGCTGAGGTCAGCCATAACTTGCTCACATATTAATTACTTATCACTTAAAAAACGCTTTTATTCCACCGGTTAATTTATCACTGCTTGAATTGCAATATATCCAGCTATGCTGAAAAAATCATTTCATACACATAATTAAGTCTAGTGGTTCTCAATTGGTGTTTAAGTTCTGACAGCAGAGAAAAAACAATGCTAAATGCAAATAATAAATGCAACTACACTGTAAAAAAAATTGAAGTTTTAAATAAAACAAGATTATTGGTGTTTTACAAAAAAATAAATACTATTTCAGTATTTCTACTAAATTTCATGTGAGTTACTTGCCATTTCTTCTTTGTAATTATTTGTGAAATTACTAGCAATTTCTGAGCGAACATTATTCTACACCATTTTTTTTTTCAGTGTAACAAAATAATTCTGCATGACTGAGATAAACAGACTAAATAAATAAACAGACTGTAAATAGACTGTCAGACAGTAATAAATAGACTGTCAGAGACTGTACATCCAATCAAATTGTACATTAATTTGGCACAAAATTATCTGTCACTTGGTAAAAGCTAGTCAAATTAGACAGATACCAACATAAAAGTATTCAAAACCAACTGAGAACCTCTGTGCTATAGTCAAGATTCAAGATCTTTTGTAAGTCTCTGTTGATAAAAGTGTCTGCTAAATGCATAAATGGAAACTCACATTTTTGTATTTGTCACATACACAGTTACTGTATATACAGGATGCAATTTAGTGAAATGTAAAGCTGGTCTGCTTAAATTGTATTAAATATATACAGTAAAATAGTAGGTAAAACGATAAAATTACTATTAAAACAGTATGAACATAAGAAATAATAATGAAAAAATAAGTAATAATAATAATAATAATAAAGTGATATGGCAACAAGTTATCAACTGTACAGAGAAAGCAAAAAGAAAACGACGTACAAAAATGAGAGCATGTTATGAGGCAGTAAAAATACAAAACGTAGTGTGCAGACTGAGTATGACTGAAAATACTGAGCATATTCAGGCAATTTGCAAGCCCCGGTTGTATAAACAGCGTTTATGATTATGGCTTTGATTATAATGTCACATCAGTATTGACAGTAATTAGGCAGGTCGTTATAAATGGTTCTCTCCGCTTCTGGAGGGATCGTGTGATCTACTTTCTGTCCTGTCACTCTGCCAAAACATATGTGACCTCAATGTTTCCAGCCTGCTGTCTATTTACGGCTCATTCACAGAGGCGTCAATAGTATTTAAATCCCATACAACAAAGGAAGATCAACAGAGTAAGTCCCTATCCGACTCATCTGACAACACTGATATGCCATTGACAAAATAGACATCATTCCAAATGAGGTTAACTGAGCAGTAAACGAATGACTAGTAAACAAGTAAAAGGCCCAGACATTCAGGCTGCTTTGAGTATCAAGATCTTGTCAACCTATACATATACATATACATATACATATACATATGCATATGCATATACATATACATATACATATACATATCAAGCGTAGTGTTAGTTCTGGCAGGCCACGTTAGTCAAGCTCCCATCAGCTGACTCTCAGCTGATCCCCATCAACCTATGGGAATACAACACCTATCTAAGCATTCATATATAAGGTCCCTCTGTATAATACATATACATATACATATACATATAAACCTTAAGCTGTAGTACAAAACAATATCTTACCAGAAACTTCTTGTGTTGGGTCTTTCCTTTTATACAGTACCATTTGAGCTCTGTAATATAAAATAAAATGAAATGAAGTTTGTACTGTAAATTTAGGCATGTATTTCTCTTTTGTATATTTCTATACATTATCAATTTCTCCTCCTAAACTGTATTCATTATAACTTGATTACTAATTCAATGGCAAGAAAACAAACAACGCAAATTACAGACCCACACTGTAAAAAAAATTCCGTAAAATTTTACGTAATTAGGTTTTACGGTTTACAGTTAAATACCGTAATTTCATTACCTGATATAATGTTAATATACCAACCTTATTGAAGTACTGAAATCTGTTTTGTACCTTTGTAATACACTGATAACCACCAAATGCAGGTGGTGATGAGAAAGTCACATGATGAACCAAAGCCCATCACAAGCAGCTTTTAAATAATAACATATATAGAAGGTGCACAGTGTCATTCACACAAACACTAAACACCATCATGGTAACGCACATGAAAATGAAATAATGCAATAAACTTTCATTTAACAACATTAGGTGTGACACACAAACAAAAGAAAAAACTAAGTTACCGTTAACAATTTAACAGGTTTTTACTGTAGCATTTTTACAGTCTTTTACCGTTAAATTCACGGTCATTTTTTACAGTGTAGTGTTTTTGTAAAATATTTGTAGTTTTCCATTGATTTTAGATTTAATTCATATCTGGGCGGGTTACACATCGATTATTGTTCCTCTTTGTTGGATATTGGGTAAAAGCTCCACACAGACACAGCACACAGTCCATTCCAGGCCGTACCAAGAGGCATTTTTGTGTTTTTGCATGACTGAAGTTCATATAAAAAGACTTTGTCTTATAATTTGCTTGGTTTGGATGGCGTCCACCAGCGAGGGGGTTTCATTTGGTGCTTTTGGTGTGACGGACTGAACCTTCGCTCACAAACCTCTTTCAATATGGTTCACATTTCTCAACCCATACTAAATGCACCATGAATCATCTGTAGTCATAATCATAGACTACAGGCTATTGATCTATATAAACACACTTGCATCCTCAGGGGCTTGATTTCTGTCACATTCACAAACTCAGACCACTGACAAAATGAATGCTGAAACCACAGACAATTGAAAGCGCTCGGCGGAAAACTCTAATTTCTCTTGCTCATGAATCTATGCAGCAGACTTCCATTTGCTAACCATTAAATAAGCCAGATTGAGATCATCTTCCAAACCGATGTCTGCCTGTCCTCCACTGAAGTTCAAACCACTCAGTTGTTGAGTTGAATGGATTTATAGCTGCTGCGTTTCAGGCTCATCAAAGGAAACGGGGGAAAAAGTGTCTTACGAGAAGTCAACACTTCTCACAAGCCATTTTACTGACACGTTTTATCTGACACGTTTCTGAATGAGACCGGATATTCAACGTGATTTCAAGTGGAACAATGAATTGTGCCCAAAAAGAGCAGGAACATGCATTGAGAAAGTAAATAGGGTCCATTTTGATGTCTGTTGACTTCAGCAGTCGCAATCATGCATGCAGAATTCCAACTGAAACAAGGAATGTTGACGTCGTTGACAGACACAGCAAATGTGTCATCAACATCATAAATCATTTTTGATGATGTTCATTCGGCCAACACAAACTCTTCAGTTCATGGGCCAAAACCTTCCAGTCCACGAGTGCTACGACACATCTTGGCGTTCATAACCTGCATGTCCCTTCACTTTTGCTAACCCAAAAGTCTTTAAGTTCAGAGGGGCCCTCGTGAAAAAAATAAATGCACTTAATAGTACTTAATGCACATTTGTAGTGTGCTTCAAATATTAAAGTCTGTTTTTAAAACACTGTACTTGCAGATAATGTAATATTAATTAAAAGGCCACTTAAGTGTACTTTAAGAGTTTCATGACTTGTTTCTTAACGCACTTAAGTACACTTTTAAAAAGTGAACTTTGTAATGTCAACTTTGAGTTTTTATTTTAAAAATCATTGTTTTAATAATCTGTTGTTGTGCTTTAATGATGTACACTGTTATTTTAGTATCATTGAGATTATAGTTTTATTATAGAGTATTATAAATGTATTAATATGTTGAATCAGTTTTTATTTTCAGTTTATTAAAATTTTTAGTTTAAGTAATTTTGTTCTGTTTTGTAATTTTTAGTATATATATATATATATATATACACACACTGATTTGGATGTTGACTAACATACTAAATCACATGTACAACACAATTATATATATTTATACTGTATAGTGTGTGTCAACCATCATTAGAAATTTATAATTAGTAATACATTTAAATAGCTTTATTAAAATAGAAATATATTTGAGTTTACTATAAATGTACATTCAGCAGTGCACTTCAACCATATTTCAAAGATGACAAAGCAATTATAAAATTACATAAAATGGGTCAGAAAAGCACTCTTAAGTTCCAGTAATTGCATTTAAACTATAATACACTTTCATTTACTTGCAACTAACATGCAATGAAGTGTCTGAAAACATAACATTCTGTTTGCACATAGGGTATTTTAATTTAAAGTATATTAGTTTTGTAATAAAGTATGCTAAGTGTACTTGTTTTCACAAGGGGGACTAAGTCTCTGTCCCCAATACCGTTTGTTTTTCCATCAGTGGTGGTTGCTTGCAGTTAGTGTTGGGCTGGGTTGAGGTGTTGAGCCCAGCTGTGTGCTCTGCAGACGGTGCCAGCGAGGGCCTGGACGTCCGCCTAGAACCACAGTCACTGACGGGCCTGCGCCTCCGTCAACCTGGAGCCCAGGACAAAGCACCTTTTCAGCACTCGCTCTCCTTCAGACTCACTTTTTTTCCCCCTCCGCTTTGGTCCAGTCATCTCCAGCAGCTTGGAAAAATGGAATTTACAATTATCATGATTTCCATTACAACTTTCATCCTGCACAGACTGATGGGTGAGGATGGCTGTGTTCAAGGCGTACCTTTTAGATCAGCATCACTTCTTAAAGAAATAGTTCACAGAATGAAAATGCAGTCATTATTTACATTGCTTAACCTTATGTCATTCCAAACATAGTTTTTTTCTTTCTTTCTGTGGAACACAAAGAGAAATTAAACTTAATGCATCTCATTTCTACACAAAGACAATTTACAGTGACCACATCTATCAAGTTTTCTATCAACTTATACCATAATATCTGCGGTTACTGTCACGGGGTTGTGGTTGTAGAGAGCGCGCACGACGAAGGAGTAGGAGTAAAGGAGGTTTTTTAATCAGCATCAACCACGTAAACCATTGAAAAATAACACTAATCCAAGACAAAAAAAACAACAGAAACTGAGGGCTTATGAAGACAGGAAACCTAAGGAGCAAACGAGATGATTAACACAACACAGGTGATCTAAATGAATGAAGATTAACTAATTACGAGAACAGGAAACAGGAATTAGACCAAATTGGGGCAAACAGAAACTAAACGGAACACACACATGACAGTTACAAGTAACACACACGTGACAGTTACAAGTAACACACATTACTTTTTATTATTTTTATTTTTTTATTATTTTTTTTTTATTTTCTCTATGACTCTATTTTAAGTTTTGAAGTATATAAATTTGTTTATTATATATATTTAAATTCATATTTATATATTATTTTATACTAATATTTTTCATTAGCTTTCATTTTAAGATTTTCAGTTTTAATTTTAGCTTAAGTTTCAGTAATTTTGTTCTGCTTTTGTCACTTTTATCGTTTTTTTATACATATATTTCTATATATCTTTCATTTATTTTTATTTCAGTTTTAGTTTTAGTAATTTCAGTTTTTCAACTTATTTTATTTCAGTTTGTCGCCAAGATCAACATATGATATAGTTGGCAAGTGTTTCAAATTACTTTTTTTCCATTTAATATTTATTTTTAATTCTTTTTCAGCTTTAAAGAAAAAACTTTTTTTTATATAGTTTTTAGTTAACACTGATTTGTAGCAGACAACTGTGAACTTTGGGTGTTGCCTTATTTAAAAAAATATTTGTGAACAATGTAACATTTTGGTGCATGAAACTTTTGATTGTTTATTGAAGTTTCTGTTTAAATAATAATAAAAGATAAAGAGTGAATAAAGGATGAGATTTTTTTTTTTAGCATGAATTACTCCTTAAAAGCCCTCTCTTTTAAAAAAAAAAAAAGAAAAAGTCAGTTACAGAACAAGTTACTGTATTTTTATTTTTTTTCCTACTCTGTTCGGCCAAGGGCACTTAAAAGAAAGTTAGGGGGTGACGATAGTTGGAAACTGAAATTAGCGTTTCTTGCCAGGACAAGATGGGAGAAGTTCTTGTCCTCACAGGTAGTCGGCATTGAGTCACAGCCAGGAAGAAAACTGATTTAATTACATTCTAACCCCAAGACAAGCACAGACATTCCTGAGCATTTGGAAGGGCAGCTCCTTCAACCTGCAGCCGGCAAGCTAATTATCCACACAATAGACACTGTGTCCAGGTAAATGACTTTAGATATTGAGAATTAGCTGAGGGAAAAATTGCAGGGAACGGGAGCGGGAAGGAGGTCATCCTTCTCTTATATGGTGTTGGATCAACCTTATGTTGTGGATTCTTTGGCTCGTCTGTTTTCCCGCTCAAATAAGCAGCTGTCTCTGATCTGCTAGCTACAGACTAATTAAGTCATGCTAAAACTGAAGCCGCCTTGCAGCCAGTAAATATCACTCAAAACATTCAAAAAAATAAAAAAAGCAAAAAAGTGGGGAATCAAATACCAGTTTTAAATTTAGAACGGTACAGTACAAAGTGATTTTCATGATTTATGGTTTTGGAAAGTTGGTACCGCAAAACAATTTGAAAACAAGACATGTTTACAAATCGTTTGTTTAGAGTTACCAGTGCTAATGTTCTTTAAACATTTGCATGAAAATGTTATTTAACATCATTCGTGGAATGGTTTAGTTCTAAAGCGTTAGTTGAACGTTCTTCTAACGGTTTTTAAATGTTACTAGTTTCAGACCGTTCAAGGAACATTTCCAAAGTATCTTTCCCATAAAGTTTGCATAATTATATAATGGAATGTGAAAAAAAAAGTTTAAATAGTTTAAAAACTGGACCATTTTGCATATTCAGAGAACATTCAGAAATAACGTTTTCATAACTTAATTGGAACATTAGCAAGATGTCCTTAGAATATATTTTTGTTAACTGGGTTTGACTCTTTGCATTCACAAACGAATGACTTTTCTGAGTCAGTTCTTTTTAACGAATGTTAAAAAGACTCACAAATTAGTTTTGAACTTAAGAATAGAGAGAGTGGTGCAGGTATAAACATAGTCATGAAACTGCACGGGGACATGAAGATTGAGGATCCAAGTGCAGTGTTTATTGAGGGGTAATCCAAAGGCATAATCCAGAAACAGGCAGAAGGTTTTATACATGTGCAATCAGTCCAAACAATAACAGGGCAAAACACAGGCAAAGGGTAATCCAAAAGACAGGCAGGGAAACAAAGCCAGGAACCAAGATGCGGGAGAACCAGGAAACAAGGCTTATGCTGCGTCTCAATGTGCCTACTTATACTACGCCCTTAAAGTATGTACTCTTTTGGTGAAGAAAAAGTGCACACTTTTGAGTGTGTAGTAAAAGAGTAGGCAAGCTTTGGGACATACTATCACGTCACACAATTGCGTCTTTAATGGACTCTCTGTCACATAGTTACAGGCACCTGGCCTGTCAATCATCTTGTCACAGTTAACATCCTCCACATTGCCTGCTCATATTTTATGCATAATGATGCATTTAAAAGTTAACGACCAAACGGATGTTTATAAAAGTTTACATTGCTGTTGCCGATGAAATATAACACAGATAACATTAAATAAATATTTTTTACCAGGTTAAATGTTGAATATTAGTAACTCAAACCCCTTTTTCTAAGCCTCTCTTCCTAACCGCGGGTCGCGCACATCCGCCATGTTTGTAGTTTTTTTTTTAACGCGTTTTATTCGTGTTTGTAGTTCTGGACAGAATCCTTCACCAAAGCGCAATGGATTGTGGGCAATATTAGCCATTAGAGTGTGCACGGATCAACACTTCAGAAATCGACCTCAAATAGTAGACCATCCGGGGACTTTTGGCATACTCTTTTCAACATACTACTTTGGGACACTTATTCTAATCTCACATACTATTTAGGATGGATAGTATGAACATTGAGACGCAGGGTTAGATTTGCACAACGGCTACAAGACTTAGCAATGAATGAGAACCGGGCTAACAAGACACAGGGGCAAACAATGAGTGCTGATGAGCGTGTGCAAAGGATTATGGGGAATGCAGTCCAGGAAAGTGTGGCAAAGGTATGGGATGGAGGGCCCTTTGGTGGCTATCAAGAGCACTACAACTTGTGATCGTGACACACACACACACACACACACACACATTTCTACACTATGTCTACTGTCAAAGAAAATAGTTTAGAATAAGACGATTGCTAAGAGGATAACTCTTATCACTAAGAGCGATAAATTCCTTACTGTTGATGCACAATTCTGGATTATTAATGTTCAAAGCATCACTTTCTACCTCAAGATATGAGGAAAACACCAGCAGGCCAATAGCATCAGAGCTCTGATGAACTGCTCATCTGCTCATTTTCAATTAAACCTCATTTATGAGGCTGCGCTTCTTTATGACTGTTTTTATTGGACGACTTTATGACAGAAGCTACACATCTGCTAACCCTCTTAAACTTCAGAGACTCTATTGACAACTTAAGCCCTGTGCAGATACACAAGCTTTAGTATCGAACTTGATCAGTTTTAATAAACCTTTGAGGTGAATCTGAGGATGAGCATGTACGTACCTCAACATAAAGCTTTCACATTTCTCTTGGGTAGAAGATCTCTGTACTAAAGGAAAACTATAAGCGGGGTGCAAATTATGAGCAATTGGGACAAGAACCTTTAGTGATTTGCTTTAAAAGTGCGTAATTTCTGTCACACCAAACAGAACTGCTAAATAATCATTGTTTTCAAACATACTCAGTGTGCACTTCCCTCATTGGTCAGGCAAACTGATAGTCCCGCCCCCAAATTCACCAAATGTAATGTTTTCATAAGGCCACAGAGATACAGTAGTAGTAGAATTCAGAAAAACTCATCGATATCGCCATACTTTCCCAAGTTGATTAATGGCAATACATTAAGGCAATTGTTTTACAACTGTATTACAAGTTTTCTGAAATGTTATGTTTAAATATGCAAATGTTGCATTGTCTTATTAAATATATGCACATTTCTAGCGCTACTGAAGTGGAGATTTCTGGCTCAGTTTGAGAAAAATACACACATCCTTTAAGATTATCCTAATGCACCAATTTAGGTTGTGTGAGACGAATCTCAGCAGACCATGCTTTGAAATGACCTCTAGAAATTTCCCTAAAGAAGCTGACTCCTCTGAAAGAGTTTGCAAAGCTATGAAAGCATCGGAAGCAGGCGTCCCGCTCGATGTGGTTTATGTTACTGATTAACTCTCTCCCAGCTTCCCCGGTGTGTTATCTGCGAGTGTGGGTCTGTCTCGCCCGCTCACGCCCGACTCATGTTGACATTCCAGAGGACTGGGCCTTGTGCAAACAGCCTCTGACAGATGGAGGCTACGAGAACCAGTAGATTGAGATGGCAGTCAGCGCTCTGATGGGCCTCCTCATGTATTTCAACAGCTCTGAGCTGAAGAACTTTATATGGCAGATGCTCATCGCAGTCTCTCGTTTAGGGGATCATACTAGATGCTGGAGAGCAGTAATGAGGTCTGAATGCTGCTGTCACTGAAGGCCATGACAGGTTTCAGTCACCATAGTTTTTATAATTTTTTCAGATGGGGAGAAGGTTTTGTTCTCCTGAGTGGCGCCATTGGACTGAATGGCTTTCAACCGTTTTAAACTGACAGCCATGAGAAGAACATTTTAAAAAAGAGAGAATGACCTGTAACCAACAGTATTTGTGAGGGAATGCTGGTTCCTACCAGTATAAAAAGTCATTTCATTAGTATCACAATTTTTCTGCAAAAAATCAGTGGGATCAAATGGAGACCAAATGGATGTTAGCACCTGCTTCTCAGATGTTTCTCCTAAGAAAACACCCCAGGAGTCTCATGTGTCTCAAGGTCTCAAACTGCTCACATACAGTATGCATATACAAAATAGCAAAGCTTGAAATTAATGTCATGGATCTCAATATGAACATTTATCAAATTCTACTTTTCTAAGGTAAAGACTAAAACTACCATGAGGATGTGAGTCTACAGCAGGGTTCCTCAATAGGGGCCCGTGAGAGAAAAATGTTTGGACCTTGCTAATTTCAAATAATGTGGCATGAAAATTCAAACGCAGCATCAGAAAGCTACTTTAACTTACATCGTGTCTACACCGGACGCGAGCGGCGCTGCGCGACACAATAAAATACAATAGAACTAGTTATAATCAGTGATGCTGTCTTGGATGCGGCGCGAGACGACAAATCCCAGACAGTAAACTGCTGACTCGTTCTATTTATAACCTACTGACACAACGTTCAAATAATTTGCAATGCTTTGTTGCGTCCAGTGAAGATATGATGTAACAGCAAAAACATGGCGAGTGTGTAAGAAAAGAAAAGTGTACATGGAAAATAGATGATTAAAATGTGAATGGACTGATCGAGCGGCGCTGCGCGGCACAATAAAATACAATAGAACTAGTTATAATCAGTGATGCTGTCTTGGATGCGGCGCGAGACGACAAATCCCAGACAGTAAACTGCTGACTCGTTCTATTTATAACCTACTGACACAACGTTCAAATAATTTGCAATGCTTTGTTGCGTCCAGTGAAGATATGATGTAACAGCAAAAACATGGCGAGTGTGTAAGAAAAGAAAAGTGTACATGGAAAATAGATGATTAAAATGTGAATGGACTGAACAGTTTTGAGTGAGTGAGTGAGTGACTGATTATCTTTGTTATGGAATACACGTGTTGGTTCGCAGTGAGTTCACAGTTTTAACGAACA